TGATTTTATTCATGTGTCGTGTAAAGGCTGGGATCGTCGTTTCCCAAATACCCCTAGTTTTTGCAGTACTTTTGGATTTAGCGTAACATCTAATGATACGACATCAAAGGGCCAAAACGGCCTGAAGAATTGAAAAACCATTTACTGTTCTCAAGAGGTCTGTCGATGAGTGACTGATTTGCAGCGCATACAAAAACCTTCGGAGCCATTGGTATTCGGTTATGGCCGTCTCGTTCAAAATTGCACATAAATCACACAGAAAGCGCGTGCATGTCGGTGTCATTGAATATCATTCATTTGCATGCGCTGGCTTTGCGCCGACCCCATCTTTACTGAGAAAGCAGCCGGTTCCCGGCACATGATTTCATGCATTACACCTATATCATCCGTATGTACGCACATCTCCAAACTAACGTTAATCCGTCTCTTCGTGTCTCGTTGATTCCACTTCGGTCCTCCCCGCCCCCTTTGCACATAAGAAATAAGGAAAAGAGTGAGTAAAGAACAAACATGTTCTTTGCGTAGATTCGACAGCTGTGACCCCGAGCCCCAAACAATTATGCTGCAATGCCGACAGAAATGAGCCCCGTGCCGGATTTGGGCTTCCTCGCGTACCCGCTCAACATCCTCCACCCGGCACCGCAGCTTCTGCCCTCTTCGACAATGGCTGAGACGCCCTCAACACTCTTGCCGGCCTCTCTCATGGCTGCGCCCTCCGTCACCATGTCGGCAAGCCGCAGCTCACCGCTGACCTTTTCCATCTCGCAGCGCAGCAGCCAGCGCTCCCAGCTCCAACCGCCAACAATGCCCGTCACGTTGGCAATTCCGTCGGTGCTGCCTGTGACCATGGCTTCCATCGTCACCGTCCGCACCTCCTGGCCCGTCGGGCTAACCCGGGCGGGCAGCGAGGGAAGGGGCTTTCCCTGCTGCTGTGAAGGGCGACGCGCGCCTACGGGCAGGCACATCCACGCCCGGCGGACCTCGTCGAAGCCTGCGCGTGAGAGCCGCCCGAGAAACATTTTTGTAGGGTTGGGATCGTAGCCCAACGTTTTGAGGTCGAAGCCAAACTCGACGCTCTTAGCCAAGCCTAGAGGGCCGGCATTCATAATGTCCGAGTCGAGGACAGAAAACTCAAGATAGCCGCCTGGCTTGAGGACACGCAGGCATTCCTTCAGGCACGTCTCCCATTCGTCTTCACCATTCTCGCCAACGAACTTGAGGATGCTGTGCAACTCACGCGCCGAGATGAGGTCGAATTGGTCGTCTTTGAAGGGCAGGCGAGTAAGCCTCTCGACGGCCACTTGGCGGTGATTGGGGGGGCCTCGGACGTTGGAGTTGGACAGCTGGCGGATTGTCTTGGTTGTGACAGTGTAAATTTTGGTGTTGGGATATTGCAGCGCGCAGTGCCATGCCCAGTCACACGTAGACTGTCCCCCAAGATCGAGAACTCGAGCTCTGTCGCGGGCAACACCATCACGACCAGGCGCCATGCGCGAGACGCGAGCGAGACGCTTAGCAACAGGAGCTGAGATCAGCTTCCCACCGTTCAACATTCTGATGGCGGCAACATGCCATGCAGAGATGGCCATCTGGGACATGGCTTCGTGTTCCTTTTCACGCTTGATCTTTTCGGGGTCATCAATGAGAACGTCATCGCCACGGGCGACGTTGGCACTGAGACGTTTCTTGGCTGACTGGGGGACGACACTGAGTTGGTACTTTCCCAGAAGTTGATTGCGGTGAAACTCCCGGAGGCAGACACGCTGAGCCTGCAGTGCTTCAAAGCGTGGAAGTTGGTGGACGAAGACGTCTTGTCTGCTGGAGCGGATGACGTAGTCCTGGAAAGCACGGTAGTACGCGGACTCCTGCCTCAGAAGCTTGGATGGCAGACGGCAGGGAATGTTGGTCTTGGCCACAAACTCGGAAAAGCGAACAGTTTTCTTCATAGGAACAGTGACGGTTTCTGGTTCTGGCAGGTTCTCGGCGTCTTCGTCCACAACCTCAGGTATGGTATCAAGATTTTTGTTGTTGTCTTCCCCATCGCTTTCGGCTTCGACTGGCTTTAGGTATGCGCGCTGAGCCATGAGCCACATCTCAGTCCGGTCGAGATTGGAGAGAGCAACCTCTTGCTGCTTGCGGGCGTACTCCGGGTCATAGACGGTGACAATCTCAGTTGGCGCATCATCAAGCTCCGGCGAAGCTGGCTCGGCCAATGTGTTCGACTTAGTTGAGAAGATCGTCGGGACGATTGGCTTAGCGGTGGGCATGTCGTCTTCGTCAGGGACTTCGTTCCTGACCTCCACAACCTGCTCAACGATCAGATTGGGTGAGGGCAGAGAGTTGCGGTAGAACTGCTCGACAGACTCATCGCTCTCATTGGCGATAAGCCTGGGCTGTGCAATCGGCAGAGGGGGGACGGAGGCGTTCATGTTCCATGGGCAGCGGTAGAACTGCTCTGCCGTGGTGGATGTGGGAGGCATCATCTCCTCGGGCGATCTGGAAGGCATGTGCCAAGTAGTTCTGGTTCGTGGAGAAAGACCGGAAAAAAAGCCCCCTGGAGAGGGAATGTCGAGCTTGGTGAGATCGGCGAGAGACCGGCGATGGGTGCTGGGTGAGAGCGCAGCCACGCGTTGTGGCCGCGGGCGAAGATTCGTAACGATTCTCAGAGGCTGTTGGCGCATTTCGGATACTGGTTCTTGTGGGAGCTCAATCACTTGTTCGGTGAGCTCACCCTCGTGCTCATGCAAGCTATCGTTATCCCCAGAAAGGGCATGTAGTGTCGCCAGGGCTCCAGGTTGAAGTCGAACGCCAGACCAATCTTCCTCATTCTTGTCTCCACCTTCACTGCCGATGATAGGAGTCGGAGGCGCCGACATGTGTGCTAGTTGTTCAGAGCTCAGACTTCCATCTAGTGACGGCGGTGCAGAGATGGTGGGGACCTCTTGCGACTGCTGAGTCTGCATGAAAGACACCACGGCAGGAGACATCTCGACTCGGGTCGGCGGCGTGGGCGGCACTGGGGATGCGAGAGCTTTCTTGAGGCCCGCAGACCAATCTTCGGTGGATGCATTTCGACCGGCAGGAATGACGAGAGGAGGTAAAGCCCTGCGAACCCCGCCTGCGGACTGCTTCGGGACCTCGTTGCGGATCGAATTGCGTCTCCTAATTGACGACTTACGCGAGGGCATTCTTCGAAGCGCGGGTTGCACATCTTCATCACTGACATCATATAGATCGTCGAACTCTGTGACGTCCGTCATGACGCTTGCTCGGTTGTTCCAGGGGTTCGAGTTTGTAGATGGAGGGCTTCCCTCGTCGTTTGAGGTCGTTGACGGCGAGGACGGCAAGATGGGTGCAGAGAGAAAGTGGAAGCCACGTGGAGTGGGAAAGTGATCACTCAGCGGTGACAGCCAGGCTTCAATATTGAGCTTTGAGGCCGGATCTCGAAGTCCCCTGTTGTCGGTGGCATACTGACGAACCTCAGTCTCCTCGGTCTCCTCCTCCATTATAGTATTAAGCGACCTCCCTGCCATTCGAGCCTGCGAAGGTGAAGGAGGTCTATATGTTGATGGTTGTAACTGATCGCTTTCAGCCATCTTCCCTTATGCAGTCAGATATCCTGATATAGACTTGCGGGTCGATGTACTGTAACGGTATAAATATAGGCAAAATGCGACGTTTGGTAATACCAGACAATCGGTTGACGACCTGCGCCGCTTTGGAAATGAAGAGAGAAAAACGAAAATAACGACAGGCCGCTTCAGTCAATGAAGCTCTCAAGTTTGTGACAACAATGGGGCGGTGGTGAAAGTGATGAGAGAAGGGGAGGAAAGGATAGGAGGCCCGACGGTTGGCCATCGCCGAGTGATATAGTCTCGTGAGAGACCTTGTTCTTCACTGCTGGAGGCGGCTAATTAAGATGGTGTCCGCACGAGTGGGCTGCGAAGCACGCTGCCTTGGCTTCCACGCACACGCCCATGATGGGGCAGTAGCATGGCCAAATGCGACCACGACGGAGGGACAGCGCAGCATTTTCGAAGCAATGCGTTTACTGCGTAGCATCACATGCAGCACACCTGCTAGAAGAGGCTGCAGTGACCCGAAATGGACGTGTTGCCGGCGCATGAGAGGGCGAGAAGGCGGTGATGGGAAGACGAGAGAGCCCATCTCCATCCGAAAGGGCTACTGCATCGGGCCACGAGCAATGTTTCGACCCAATCAGTAAGCTCGAAGACGTGTCTAATTTTGGATCACAGAGGCCGACCATGGGATGGGTGAGCAGCGACTGGCTGGCGCGCGCGAATTCAAGAGGCGGGAGGTGGGAGCCATCCTTACTGGAGATGCACGACTGTCGAGTCACCGGCCAATGACGATGCTGGATATCAACCCGGCGCTTAGATGCGACGGGGATTGGAGGCAGGCCACTCGGCCAACCGCGAGCCATGAATTGAAGGGCCTCTAACCTGGCCTTGCGGAGAACAAACTATTGACTGGCGCATGGATTTCGTTGAGACTGGTTATGCAAGAATTTGATGAACTTTCGGTCCTGACTTCTGTATTCGATTTTCGCGTCGGCAGCAGCATACACGTCTTTTTGATGTTAATGTTGCGTGATACATTCGCCATAGCGTGCTTAGCTACGACGTTGGCCTGGTGGTATGAGGAATTAAAAGACGGCGGCCTGAGATCGAGCGGCCGGCTCGACGCAACCGAGGGCATCAGACAAGCGTAGAGGTTTACTTTGACGGTTGCGATGGTTACCCCACTCGGCGTTGTCTGTGGCTGGAGTTCAAGCCACGTCACTTAGGTAATCAACGTAAGGTGGTCTGCTGTGGCAGTTCATGCATGCCCCGCCATCGATCAACCCCGCAGTCGGCCGTCCTTGGAAGAGACTTGAGAGGCACGCGTCTACTTCCGTCCTCGACCCCGTGCTTCACTTCGCGAGCACTTTCTTTCTCTACATCTCCGTTTCCTGCTCTGCTTCGGCCCTTTCTTGCGTTATGGCCGACAATGACAAGTCAGAGACCTCAGGCGAGCCTCAAGGTCGCCACGTAATCTACTGCGGCGGTAAGTAACAGGCGCATTGTAATGTCACTCGAGGCGCGAATTCTGACCTGCTTTACCCCACGTCTAGTTTGCACTCTCCCCCCAGAGGTACGCTTCAGAACGATGGCAACCCTTAGGGCGTCCGACGTACTCATCCCAATTGACTAATATAGTACTGCGAATATGGAGGCACCGTGAAGAAGTGCCAGGAGTGGCTCCAAAAGAACCAACCCGAGCTGTATCAGAGAATCTGGTCTGCAGGTACAAATACCACACCACCAGTCTAGCGACATAGTACGATACTTACGACGAATTATTACAGAGGCCCTCGAGGCAGCAACAGCATCCCTATCCGTAGACGCCCAGAAGCGAGCTGCTAAAGATGCCCAAAAGAAAACTGCCAAGGCCGAGGCCGCCGAGGCGAAGCAAGCCGATAAGCTCGCCAAGAGTACGGTCACGATCAAGAGAATTGAACGCAACAAGAGAAAGTTCGTCACGTCCGTGTCTGGCTTGGAACATTTTGGACTAGAGAACAAAAAGGTCGCCAAGGAGTTTGGGAAGAAGTTTGCTACCGGCTCTTCCGTAACCAAAACTCCGAGCGGTAGTGAGGAGATTGTCGTGCAGGGCGACGTCAGCGACGAGATTGAGGAGTTTTTGCTGGAGAAGTACAAGGAGATACCCGAGGACAACATTGAACTGGTGGAGGATAAGAAGAAGAAGTCGAGCTCGTAATGAGTCGTACCATCGGAGGGCGTACAATGTCAATTGACTATTCCTGAGTGTCATTTCTCACAGTCGTTATTCCCACGCAACTCCCTCAAGCTCAACGCCCTTTGTTCCTGCCAGGTACGCCATGAAGACATCTTCAACGCCAGAGTAAAACAATAAAGGTACCCGACGAACCATCATCTAGGGGGTGGACATCTATGCTCTCTTCCGCAACACCCTGGTTGACCCTGCTGTGGACGCTGGTGCTAACTTTGGAGCTGCTGGCTTTCTGGTCGTCGCGGCGCCAACACCCTTCCTGATTGCACCCATGACAGTCCGTTTCGTAGTGGTGGGCGCCGCAGCCGCCGTCTTTTTGACAACAGTTCCCGTGCTACCCTCGCTGGAGTCGCTCACTCGCTTGCCTGTCCGCGTCGCCGGTCGAGATGGTGCTTTGGCCGCTGTTGTCGTGTTGGCCCGCTTGGTTCGTGTAGTCGCAGGAGCTGACGCGTTTACAGGGGCCGATGCGTTCGAGCTGTTCGTAGAGGATGCCAACGCCCGCTGGGCGGCTGGGCGGCTGGTCTTTTTTGCCTTTTCTACCATGTTAGACAGTGCTGAACGAGCACTATTGTGCTGCTTGACTGGAGATGACGGTGGTCGGCCAACATGAGATTTCGATGGAGACGATAGAGGTCGGTCGCGGATCAGGGATCGAGTATTGGACGATGTTGGCGACAGAATCTGAGATGAGCTCAAAGCAGTCGCGGAAGGGCCTGCCCGGTGCTTCTTTTTGGGGTTTACGATCCGCTCATTCTCCTTATCTCCGCCTGTCATGGCATCGCTGTTTTCATGGTTTAGCGTACATCAATCAGCACAGCCGAAGAATGAAATACCAACCTCAATCGCTTTGTGGATCGCGCTGGAAGTGCGAGCTTCTGGGGACTTGACCGTGGAGGGAAGTCCTTCTCTGGCACTGGAGGTGGGCGCGAAGATGCTTCAAGACGCTTTTGCTGTTCGGCGGCTCTAGCTACCAAGTCGGCCATGGTCATCTTCAGCATAGATCGGGGTACGCGATTGACACGCATCTGAATGCGTGATCGCAGAGTCTGGGCCTGCTGGTTGTACTGTGCGCGTAGTCTTCTGGCGCGATCCGTGACTGTTTTTGCCGTTAAACACGCGCTCATTGACTTGTCATTGGAGTCTTGAACATACTTTCCAGTTGCAAGTTGTCAATAATCGCCTGCTTCTGTTCCAGCGTGATTCCAAGCCTCTGCCTCTTGCTTGGACTGCTGCTCAACATAGGGGGGGTGCCCGTTTTGGTAGGTATCGTCTGTTTTTGCATTGTAGTAGACTGATCAATATCGTCTGAGGATCTCTTCTTTGATCGTGCGGGAGGCATATTGGTAGTATGTGCGCGAGAGGGTTTTGCGCGATGGTAGTAGGCGATGAGATAACAGCCCGGTCGCGACGAAAGCGTGGGAGATGCTGAGCTAAAGATGACGGGGGCGGAAGCCGTGTTGTGAGTGGCTAGCGCTCCGGGAAGTAAACAAACTCAACAGGCAGCGTCTTACATAATCGTACCCGGACGGGACTCCCTTAGTGGTGCCGGGATATTCTGGCCTGTTGTGGTGGTTGTCACCCTGTGTAGATCCCTCCTTCGATGCTTGCCGACAACGACGAACAACTTCGGCAAGTATTTAGGTGATGTATGAAGGACTCATTTGTCTATAGCATAAACGAAGGCTTACACTACGTATTTGGGATTTCAATTTGCGAGTGTTGGCGAGGCTTTGAGGGGTGATCAGCGGTAGCCCCTGTAGAAGAGGACTTTCGCACATGAGGGTGAACGGGGTTTTGACAGCACTGACGACCAATCTGGGTGCTTGGTGTCTAGGTCGGTAGTGTTGCTATGTTTCGAGCCAGGTACTTATAAGAAAGGCAAGCCAGCTGCACCTTCCAGGTACCCAGTACATGGACGCAACCAGTATCGCCAGGCTGAACTGCCTTACGCAGGAGCTCTCCCACCCGCCCACCTTACACCAAGCTCGCCCTCAGCCATCCGAAGCTGCACCATTCACCAACACATTCACCACAACACTTTTTCACAAGTTTTCCCACCGACTCGAATCTGTCGGTCGCCACGACTTGATCCTTCAAATCCCTCCGTACACCATCTTCATTTGATAGCCGGCTATTCGCACCACCGTCAAGATGGTCCTGGAAGCGGTGATGGTCGTCGTTGACAACAGCGAAAGCAGTCGCAACGGGGACTACCAGCCCACAAGATTCGATTCCCAAGCCGACGCCGTCAATGTAATTTTTCAGACAATTACCAACGGCAACCCCGAATCCTCTGTCGGCCTCATGAGCATGGGGGGCAAGGGACCCGAGGTGTTGGTCACTCTCACGACAGACCAGGGCAAGATCCTCGACGGCTTGCACCGCACCAAGACCAAGATCAAGGGCTCATCACACCTCGCAACGGGCATCCAAGTCGCTGGTGTAAGTGCATCTGAATGATTCACCTTCTCAATGCTCTGACCCGGCCTTTCCCCGCTAACCTCCGTGCCTCTTGCAGCTCGCCCTCAAGCACCGTCAGAACAAGTCCCAAAGGCAACGGATAATCGTCTTCGTTTGCTCGCCTATCGAGGAGGAAGAGAAGAAGCTGGTGCAGTTGGCGAAGAAGATGAAGAAGGGCAACATCTCGGTCGATTTCGTGCTCTTCGGTGACCTCGACGATGACGACACCCAGAAGAAGCTGCAAGCATTCAACGAAAGTGTCAAGGGTGGCGAAGGTTCCCACCTTGTCGTCATCCCCCCAAGCAGCAAGTTGCTCAGCGACCAGCTCATCTCTAGCCCTATCCTGCTGGGTGACGCCGCAGGTGGTAGTGGTAGCGGTGGTATGGAGAGCGGCGGAGGCGGAAACTTTGGAGAGTTCGACTTCGATCCGGCTATGGACCCGGAACTTGCCCTCGCCCTGCGTATGAGTATGGAGGACGAGAAGGCAAGACAGGAGAAGAAGGCGCGCGAGGAGGCCGATGCGGCGGGCAAGGGATCGCTGGATGATATCAAGGAGGAAGGCGAGAATGCCTCCCTGCTCAACAAGGACGGAGGCGAGTCGAGCAAGAAGAACGACAAGAAAGACGATGACAGGATGGATACCTCGTAATCGGAACTGAGGCCTCCCTGATCGATGGTTTGTTTGCGTCATCACCATGAGTGTGTAAAATAGAATACTGGCTTGGTCCCAATAGAAGGTCCTGGTACTCCGCAAACGCCATTACATGATAATTCCCTTCCCGGTTCAAGAATGAAAAGCTCATAACCCTCGTCACACAAGCCGCCTGTCTAGTCACAATCTATCGATTGTTGATCTCTCTAATGTATGATAGGAGCTTCCGCTCAAACATCTCGCAACGAATAGGCATCTCCAGCTGGTAGAAGGGGTTTTTCATGACGTAGTCGCTGTAGAGATCGTATATCCTTCGTAATATCACATCAATGTTGGTTTGCGTTGTGTCGGTGAAGAGCAGGAACTTGGTGCCCGTCATGGTAGTGAAACACTGCAACCTGAAGTTCTCCGTCTCCATGACTTCGAGCCCTGACGGCGGCTCCGGGCGGCTGGGAATTCCTCCCGCTGCTGCTGTAGCAGCTGCGGCTGCTGCCTGCTGGTTCTTCAGGGGGTGAAGCCTGGCGGTGATGGCATGGATGCTGTAGCCATGTCAGCTTCATTGGGGTAGATGGATGTTGCCTGGCCCTGCTCACCCGTGGAAGGTGCCTGCAAGCACAAGATAGTCATTTGTGCTTAGCTGGTTGAGGCCGCCATCGTGGAGGGTTCGGTTGTAAATCAAACCGCCTGCTTTGTTGATGACGATGAGCGCGAATACGGTCCTGTGTCTAGGTCAGTCAACTCCTCCAGGACACGACGCGGGACGGCACGTACATGACTATCGGTCCGATCAGCTCACAGCTGGCGACTCTTCTGATGAAATGAGGTTTCTGACCTGGCCTCTTCTCATCGATGTTGATCTATCTCACTTTTCGCCAATCCCGTGGTCAACTCGACACCTCAGTTGGCCTTTGCTAAGGTGGCTACTGCCACACAGCGGCCACCTACTACAGCCACACCCATGAATTGGCATTCACCCCTGCGGCCGCGGCTGCACTAGCCCCGAAGGCCGGTGGACCAAACCGAAAGCAAGCAACACACATGGAGCACTACTCCGACTACCTGCCAGTGGAGTCATTCTTAACTCTCATCAAGCCTTCAGCCTCACGCAATCACACTACACGCTACAGCCAATGCTTCCGCGCCGACGTTTCTGATTCTACGACATACTAATTTCGAACGTTTATCCCGTCACCGCCCGCAGCATTGCCTACTATACGCGTCTCTTCCCGCCTGTGGTCGCGATCGACGATTAAGCCAAACACCACCATCCTCACGATACGCCCAACATGTCCCATCACGCACCCACGTCGCGCCCGAAGCCTCCGCCGCCCGGCAGCGAGGAAGCGTCGAGCGTTCTGAACCTCGGCGAATTCCAACACGTGGACACTCTCACGCTGTCAGAAGCTTCCCTTGTCATCAATGCGCTGGTTGCCAAGCGGAAGATGGATCGCAAGAACATCAACGAGACCGAGTGAGCAATGCGCCTGCCGTTCAGCACGGCCTTTCCGTCCATCGAAACACCGAATTGGGCCTTGAGATAATGCAATCACTAATGCGCTTGCCAGGATGCTGACCCAGACTTTGAACTACCTCGATGCCTTTTCCCGTTTCCGTCAAAAGGAGAACGTGGAAGCCGTTGAGCGACTGCTGAGCGCCCACAAGCAGCTGGCCAAATTTGAGCGGGCGCAAATAGGTACGCAAAATGTCCCGTCATCGTGCGACATGGACAGCCTCCCGACTTACCATTCTTGCAGGCTCGCTGTGCTGCGAAACCGCCGAGGAGGCCAAGACCCTTATCCCGTCCCTCCAGGACAAGATCAGCGATGACGACCTGCAAATACTCCTCGACGAGATTAGCAAGCTACAGAGCAGATGACGCACTAGTAGCGACCGCACTACCAATCCCGGATTGCTGTGGCCTTGGAGCAATGAATGGCCCGGCCAGTAGGCACGCGACTCGGGACTAGACACTTTGTCTGCTTCGCCCTGGTAGAGACGTCCAGAGACACGGACGCGAGAGAGGAGAGGAAGATGATCAAATGGCGGGGAAAGAATAAATAAAATTGGGACAGGACCGGGAATTTTTCTGCATAAGAAAACCATGCTGCATTTGTTTTGGCGTAAACTGGAGGGGACCAGATTGTTTTAGTACGTACGTGTCGAATACCTAAATACCCTACGATTTGACCAGTCATGAGCACGCGCGCGCATTCGCCTTGCTGGATGCCACGAGCTATGTTTACTCTCGCGCAGTATGCGCAGGCGACGATGAAAAGGTACGCGTTTTACGACTAGAGACGATCGATTATTAGTAGGCCTACTTAAGGACCCTGCGAGGCTGGTCTCCTGGCTAGCTTAGTTCCCAAACTGATTCCTCAAACTTCATCTGCGAATTGATTCTGACAAAAACCGGCCCGCCCAGGCGAGTGAGTAAGAAAAGCAATTCCTGGGTATCGTTAACGCCGGCAAAATTCCAAACCATCCTTACCCCTGACAGGCCGTCAACGTCGTTAGCCCCCGTCTTAGTGATGGGCGTCCTCGTGCCTTTGCTCAGGCAGTTGACTCCCACTCTTTCCAGCTGTTCACGTACGTCTTGCGAGATCGCTCCTCCTTTGTAGCATTCAACGTACCCGTAAGGTAGCTGGGCGTAGTCTCAGCAACCGGATACAGGTTTGTTGCGTTGGGACGGTAGGGCTTGTATTTCTGGATACCACTGCGGCTGCTGTGGATCTCGACGACCTTGGGGAGTCCCGGAGAAGCCAACTCGGCAATGGCTGCCTGCTGCGGGGGGCCTTGGAGCTCAGGGGTTGCTGTGCCCAGTCGAGACACGAAGTCAGGGCTGGCGGTAACGGATCTAGCAACAACCGCAGACGCTGGAGGTGCAGGAGCTGGGAGAGAGGCAGTCTCACGAGACATGGGGCTGACGGGGTGATTCATCATTCTGCTGTTGGAGCTCATGTCGCTGACCCGGTTGAAACGACTCTGGGGCTCTTCGTATCGTCCTGCGAGGTGTCAGTCAAGGAACTTGAACGTCATCAATATCAAAAACCTACCTCCGAAAGATGCAAAGACGTCATCAGGCCTGGTCGCATCACTGGTCTCGTTCGCGTGGCTTCCTTGATGGGGTCCATCAGGCTGTGAGGGGCTGGCTGGCTCGGTATGACCATCCTCCTCGGTAGCACCGCCGCCCTCGATTCCATGCTTGTCGAGGGAGTTGATGGAATCCTTATTCCTCAGCTTCCTTCTCTGCTTGCCGCACATGAAGTAGAGAACGATAACGATCAGCACGATTGCAGCAGCACCAGCAATGATACCACCCTTGGCAGCAGCTGATAGCTGGGAATTCGACTCTTTGGTTGCAAGTGCGGTAGCTGAAATGACTGGGACAGAGGCCTGAGTGGCGGTGATGCTGGGATTCGCGGTGACAATTGTGGGTGAAGGCAGAGTCAGGCTGTCTGAGAAGTAACCACCTCCAGTAGTTGGCTGGATATTGAAATAGGTAGTGACGCCGACTTGCTTCTCGGGCAGGGTCTTCGCTGGAATGATGGGGGTCGACGAGGCCAAGACGGGCGGGGCGACAGCTGCGATGGTCGTCGTCTTCTTGTCGTTGACTTCACCACTGCGCGTGCAGACTTTGCTGCCGCAAGGGCTGGAGGTGCAGCAACCCTTGAAACCGCCAGGGCATTCAAAGAGATCCTCCCCGGCCAGGCAGGCGTTGCGCACGTCGCGTGCCTTTTGCTGGGCCTGAGGCGGCGAAGTGAGGGCAAGCCGCATGTTGGTTGCTGCTATTCTTGTGAATGGAGGTGAGCGAATAGTTACAAGTAACGAGAAGAAATTGATGTTGGTAAAAGTATGAGAACACCTCGTGCCACCATCACAGAGCGACGGTAGCGAAGTGGAAATGGGTGAAGTGGTGATGGATCCAAGTTACCTGGGCCAAAAGAGTGACGATCGGGTTGCCAACGTGTTGGAAAAAGCCGCCGAGGCGTGATTCAACAGCGCCTGGAGGCGGCTTAGCTGGATTTTTTTCAGGTGGGTAGCGAAATGGAAGGGGTCAGGCGCGCGGAAGGGGAGGATTGAACGGCGGTAGGTTGGTGTCGTCACCCAGATATGAAAGGAAGGCACGATGGGATAGTGTCACTTGCCCCTTACCTACCTTCCCTGACTGAAGGAGTCCTTGTCCAGCTTGTGCTTCTTATCGTCCTAGGTAGGAACTGTCCACCCTCGGCCGCGATTTGACAATCACATCAGACCCGATTGATTATTCGCCGCCTCGTATATTCACTTGTTCACCTCGAGCATTCACTGGCCATGCCTCTGCTTCCTCATCACCTCCATTTGGGGAACCTGTGCCAAGATAGGACGGATCATCGGGTCAACACTGCAAGAATCAACTTTAGTGGTTTTCGTCCCGTCTATAGCGGTTTGAGGGCTGGATTTCATGTTCATGGCGTTGACGTTGACGATGTTGGCCCTCTCACTTGGCCGTGTTCAGAGTAAGAAATATGTTTGTTGCCGGATCAATGCTTTTGTGGTTGACGAGGTCAACTCGCTTCAACACTCAACGACGTAAGGGCGGTAGTCATGGACGGAAACAGACTGTAGGACAAACTTGGAGGCTAAATGCACCACGCCCGTTGCGTCCTCTACGTCTCGAGATACCTGAGACACTGTCCGAAGCCACGAAGTTTGCCAGCATCTGGACCCCGTTGTCTTCGCCGGCCTTAGATGTGAGTCAGGCGATCTCAAGTTGTTAGCGAACTGCAACGCTGCGGGAACTGAGACATTCAATGATCAAAGATGATAACCACCAAACTCCTTCTATTGATGCCACCCAGCTATGGGAACCTCTTGGACGCCGTCCGCACACCGAGTCGCCGCACTGCCGTATGCGTGCGAGTACTGAACAACATTAATAACTTTTGGTTTCTCTTTTGCTCCGCAAACCCGTTCGCATTCAACCTCGCCTAGAGCTTCTCCAACAAGAGCTTGCTGCCGAGATTACCGACAGGCTTGTCACCACCTTTCTTGCCCTTCTTTGCTCCCTTCTCGCTCTTCTCGGCCTCCTTCTGGGCCCTGGCCTCCCGGTCCGCCTTTTGCTCCGCAGACTCCTCCGTTGCGGCCCTCTGGAGGTCCTTCTTGTGGGCCTTCAGCATCTTCTTCAACTCGGAGGCGTGGCTGAAGTCCTCGGCCTCAAGCATGTTGAGAACAACAAAGGAACTCGGCCCCGTGGCCCAATCAAGAATGTAATCCTTGATCACCGGGTATAAGATATCGGAAAACTTCAATGGTGGATCAACAGCCTCGACTTTACCGGTCTCTTTGTTGAACTTGCCACCAGCGATCAAAGTCTTGACCAGACGACCTCCAAATGGTGTGCGGGAGACATGGACCGGGGTAACAATGCCGTCCTCCTCCATGGGCTCCGCGCTGGGATCACCCGCGGCAACAGCCGCAACAGCCTCGAGGGCCTTCGTCTTATCGCCCTCGGCAGATAGCAGTACGTCAGCAACAAGTTGGCAACCAAAGGGGTCTGCAACTAATGTCTGTGCTGAGGACACCACGGCCTCAATGAGAGCCGGAGAAATGGCAACCACCAACTCCTTTCTCCTCATATCGGCATCCTTCTTACTGGTGGTCTGGCGAATCTCGTGCACCTCCTTCAGAATTGCAAGATCCTCGTTCATGCTAGCAGGGAAGATTGCTCTGGACTGGCCCTCAAGCAGATACAAGAGCGTCGCCCTAGCAAAGGGGTTTGTCGTGGAAACGATGATGTTTTCCGTCGCTCTGTCATTGTCATCGCCAATCAGCTCAGGAAAGATAGCCTTCTGTGTCATTTTCGTGTCATCGATAACATCGAAGGCAGTCAAAATCACGATGTGAGCAAAGGGGTCACCCGACATAAGGACAAAGTTATCCTTGAAAGCCTTCAGCAGGTTCCTACGGTCCTTGGATGAGCCGTGGGCCAAGAGAAGAGCCACCAGTCTAGATCCCGAGCGAGTAAATGCCATGTTTTTCAACAGGTCACCAGTCTCGTCGTCCTTGATCATCTCGAGGAACATGGTAAAATCGTCGGTGCCGGGCTTGATGTTCAGGAAGTATTGCAGCATAGCGTCGTGCAGCATAGTGAAGCCCGTCATCTTCTTCTGCACCAAAGAGTTGATCATGTCGTGGAGACTTTTCAAGATGGGACCGCGCTTGCTAGATTTCTCCTCGAGAATCTCGGACAGATCAGATGTCGGCTTCTCATCCTTATTGCGCTCCAGCAAAGCGAATTCTGGGCCGTACCATTCTCTCAGGATGATGGCCTTCTGCTCCTTCGTAGCGATTTGACGGTAGATGTCGTCCAGGATCCAAGAGGCCTCAGGGTGATTGATCAGCTTCCGCACCTTGCCGTAAAACTCTGGAACGATAATCTCCTTGATCTCAGCGTCGGCCTGCACGATCAGCTTGGCGATAAGGAACTTGGCGTATCTGCTCTCGGCGAGCTGGGCGTACGTTCCCTGTAGCTCCTTCGTGATCTGTTTCCTTTGCGCGGCTGTCGCGTACTTGATCGCAGTCTGAACAGCACGGGTCGCGTCGTGCTTCAAGACAAACTCTTTAATTCGTCCAGTGATGATGCTGAAGAGCTCATCGACGAGTTGCTTCCTCTCCTCAGAGGGCACGTGGGACTTCCTCCTCAATCGCTCCCAAATCTTCTTGGTTCGTTGTACTTCATCGGCCAGGGGCTTCGCGGCCTTGCGCTCGAGGGCGAGTTTCTTCTGGATGGCATGGGACTCCTTCGAAGTTTGTCCTGTGTGATGTTTGTAAGTACAAGTCGCAATCGCAGAGGTCCCGACTTATGTGGCCTACCTTTCTCAAACTGCTTGCTCTTGT